CCGGACATGTCCGGGAAAATCCGGACGTATACTGAATATACTGTTTGTGTGTGGCTGAGCATGTTTTGAAATTCTCTGTGGGCCCCTGTGTGGGCTCTCAGATTTGAGTTGAAAATGTAAAGTGTCATAAAACCAGCGCACAAAGAAACTGCTGATCAAGGAATTTTAGTGACATGAGGATTTTTTTATTAAATGTTAGCTTCCGATGATTAGGAGGAAATTAACATTTTCAATGTCTCCTACATTTTTAAATGTTTGTTCTCAATGTTCCTGAGCCATGTTTATCTAGTTTTGCTTTCCAGGTTCTCAGTGCACATAACAAGAGACTCTTATTTTCTTCCAGAATAGAAATAACCTAAATATAAATCTTGAAAAATCTCAATTTAAAAAAATTAAATTAATAATGATTATTAATTTTATATTCAAATACATATATGGGACAATCCACATTTAAAATAAAAAGAAAGGAAATAGCAGTTCATTAAATATTGGTAGGAACTTATACTTGTAAATGGGAACAGACGGCCTGAGTCTGATTGATTTTAATGAGCTATGCACATGTATTAGATATAATAATAATTAATAATAATTATAATTATTATTTCACTATTCCATAGCAAGTAATGGGCATTCCACACACACGGTTACATTAATGGCCATATTTGGGGCCAGGATGAACCTTTCTCATCCCCACTCTCCTCAGGATACTGGACTTTACCAGGGAGTTTCTTTCCTAAGCAATATTGAATAGGAATTGTCCATTGAGAATAACAAATATAGGCCATGTGATCTTGGGGAGGAGGCATTGGGGGATCTCAGTTTGTCTGCCTTCCCTATGTCTCTCTGTGTGCACCAGGTGACTCTATTCTCTTTCCCACAGATCATGTATCCAGAGGCATCAGGAAGGGGTGAGAATGAAAGCACCATACCCACATTCTCCCAAGATTACAGGCAAAGAGGGAGCTGGAAAGAGTCAAATCTCCCTCCCCTCTCATCAGTGTGATACCTTATTTAACTCTCCTTTTTCCCTGCCTCTCTCTCTTTTCCCCCATTGCTCTCTCTGTGTCTCCCTCTATTCTTCTTTGAGTTCCCCTTTCCATCTATCTCTCCCTCTACCCCATCGCTCTCATTTGTAACTTTTTTTTTTATTGGCAAGCTCTTAGTGATAAAGCTGCAGTCTGTGACTCCTTGGGATCTCTTTCATGTTTCAGGGGGAAGATCTCCCTGGAGGCATTTATGGAGAATTATGACCCAAGTGTCCTTCCCAATGAGACTTACCTGCTCTATGAAATAAAATGGAGCAGTAGCAAAAAGGCCTGGCAGAACTGTTGCCATAACACCCTCATAGAGCATGCTGAAATCTACTTCCTGGAAGATGTCTTTAAAAAGCAAAGATCTGATCCTTCTGACCACTGCTCCATCACCTGGTACATGTCCTGGAGTCCCTGTGGGGACTGCTGCAGGGCAATCAGGCGTTTCCTGAAGGAACAGCCTAATGTGAACCTAGTTATCTATGTAGCACGGCTCTACTTGCACAAAGAGGAACACAATCGTCAGGGTCTACAGAGCCTGGTGAACATTGGAGTGTCCATCCGAGTCATGGACCTCCCAGGTAATGACTCATAGAGTTACAGGGAATGGATGGGATAGAGATGGGACATGGGGCTGTTTGCCTCTAGATCACTAGTTCCAATTCAGCCCTGGTCACGGATGGCTCCACTGAGGTTACAAAGAGTCTGGTGGCACCTGATACTCCACTGAGGTTGTAGAATGGACTCTGGAATCTTTTCACTTCTAGGTCAGTGGCTCCAGTCTGGCCCCAAGCCTTGGGGGATAGTGCAATGGGATTCAGAGCTTTTTCCCTTCAGGTCTCTGGTTTCAAACTTTCCCCTGAGTGTCAGTGACCAAAAGCCAGTAGCTGACAGCCATTTTTTGACCTATTTGAAATGTGCTGGTGTTTGCAGTCCAGTTCCTGACAGTACAGATAAAAATCACTAAAATCTCCACCCCTGCTGGCACTTGCTGATCCCCTTGTCTCAGCAGAGAGGCTGGGGCATAAATGAGCCATGAAGAGTCAAGGCCCCTTTTACTGCTAGAGGCAGGAATTGAGAGCTGAGGCACACTGCTGAGCTGTCTGCGCGGGTGAAGCTGGTATGACACTGCCTGTCTCTAGTGGTCTATTCAGGGAATAAACAGAGAACATCAGCCTCCTTCCCGGCGCAGTCTGCCATCTTTCAATTTCATTTGAGAACATAGTATTGTATTTAAATGTAAGGGGATGGCTTTGCAGCTTTTTTCTAATCTACCCCCAGAGTAAAATCAGCTCACCCACTGATAGTGTGATACTGCTGCTAATCATGAAGAAATAGATGATATTTTACTCTCCCCTCAATACATAAATGACTTGTCCCAGGTGAATAAGTGAGTGACATTTTGCAAGGCTGGTTTCATTAGACCTTCCCTGGACAGAAAGATGGAAAAGGCCAGCATAACATGAGGCCCAAGTGCTGTAGTGTCCTCAGCTGGTCCTGCCTAAGGGTGACCTAGCAGAAGCATTCTGCATGGCTCAAATTAGTCTTGCTCCCTTGAGATTGACTGACCTTTGTCTATACTGAGTCCACTGATACCTCCTTCAGCACATGACTGATTTGCTCCATTTTCCCAGCTTATAGCTACTGTTGGAGAACATTTGTCAATGATGAGGACAAGGATGAAGATGATTATTGGCCCAGGCACTTTGCTCCATGGATAATGCTATATTCTCTTGAACTCCAGTCCATCCTTCAGGTCAGTAGAACTTTAGGGAGGGGAAAATTACATGCAAAAATGATCCAGAGTCATATGCAGAACCCAGTGTCTGAGCAGGACAGTTCCTTGACCTCCTTGGAAATCTCAGTGATTCTGAGAGCCTCTCTCCTGCAGCTGAGCTGTAACACACAGTGACTTCCAAATGAGCTCATGAGGACACTAACACTGTATTGGAAATCTCTCAGTGCCTGAGGAGATCAAAGGGCTGGTTGGTTGGAGGAGAAAAATGCTCTTCACACCTTGGTGGAGTTTAAACGCCTCTGTGGTTTGCTTTATTGCAAAACAGCATAAATGTAAAAAGTCCTGTCCCTTTCAGGGACAAAAACAACAGGGTTTTTCCTCAGCCCAAGTACAAAGCAAGTTCTAGAGCATGGCTAGACAAATTCCAGACAGAGAAACCCCGCAGTTCTTCTCTTCCCTTACAGCCCATCCTCAACCTAGAGACCCTTCTTCCTGACCCGCCCTTGCAGACACAGCTTCCAATGCTACACCGCACATCCTTCTCTCAGAGTCCATCTACACTAGCAAAACTGTAGTCAGGTCTCCCATCCCCCCAGCAGAGCTGATTAACCCCTTTCCTTGCCAACATTTGGATGGGTTTATATTCCCTCCTAGTAACGGGGCCATTGAATGTTTCATTGAACTCCCCTGAAGTCTCTCCCCTTTCCAAATCACCCCATGTCACAGGGTGATCTGTAATACATTGTCAGGGCGTGATGGGAAGAGCCAGCCAATAAATGATATTTTCATCCCATGGGAAATTCCAAGATGTGTTTTCATTCTGCATTAGAACAAACCTGAGACCTTTTCAGTTTTTGTGTGAAAACCACAAGGAGGTGGAAGAGAATGAGCGAGAGCACCCTCCCGAGAGTAGCCATCAGCCCCGTGTGTAAGGCCCTCACACACTCCTCTGGGATACCCAGGCTGTGTCTACAGTACAAGTGATGCAGCGGCACTGAGGCAGCACTGCAGATACGTTGCTGTAGCTCTGTAACGTAGACACTACGGTGACGGAAAGGGGGTTTCTGTTGCCGTGGTAAAATTACCCCCACAAGAGGCAGTAGCTATGTCGACAGGAGAATTGTTTCATGAATCTCACTGCATCTATAGTGGGGGATAGTTTCATCTGAGTACGTCATGCACGGTATAAAATTTTTCACAGTTTTAGGTGTAATCTAGGTCCTAGGTTTAAATCCCTGCTCCTGATCGAGACATAGCAGGGACTTGAACCTGAGTCTCTCATACCCCAGGGGAATGTTTAAACCACCAGGCCTTTGGCTATTCTGAGGTGGGGTCTCGGTCTCCCTCTCCTCCCCCCACTTTTGTTTTTTCTTTTCCCATGGTGGACCTGAGAGACATTCCCAACAAAATTTCTTCACAACCGATATGTTTCCACAAAATGTTTTGGATTTGACAAATCAGCATTTTCTGATGAATAACCGTGTAGTTGGAATACTCCCAACCAGATCTAATGATGAGTCCCTGTGACCATTAAACATGCCTGGGAACCCTTTGTAATTTGCCCTGGTTTTGAATGAGCTTTGAAGCAATTAATATTTTAGGTGATTGCAGTTACAGTGAGTTCCTCCCATGTCCATTAAATCCCAGCGTGAGTCTAGAGTGCAAATGTTAAGCTGCCAACCTCCAGAAAATAAATTAACTTCAGTTGTTGCTTTTCTCACCAGAACATTCCGTCTTGCTTAGAGATTTCAACAGGTGAGAACCAGACTCCAGTTTTCAGCCTCTGTGTAGAAGATGATCAACAGAAAAGAGCACTCACATCCACCAATCCCCGATAGCCGCCAGTATCCTGGCCTGGGCAGCCAACCAGTCTCTGGATGCCATGAGTGTCTTGAACCAGGCCATCCTGGGGGAGGGATGTTGATAGGACACTAGAATGTTTAATCATTCCAGTTTGATTTAGTTACTCTTAGCCATTTCCTTCCCATTGGTTCATCTTGTAGCCTTTTGAAAAGTGAATCATGTTTAAATGTTTAATGTCATACAGTGACTGGGTCATGTTAACACCTGTGACTCAGTGTAATGGTTTATTCCATCACAGTTACCACAGGAATATCTTGCTTATTCTGCAGCCAATGCTGTTTCACCAAATGAAACATAACTCATTATTTATTTACATATATAGCGACCTTAGAGAGGATTTATTCTCCGGGGTTATTTGTTTGAATTATTTTTCTCTTGATAGATTTCTAGGTTTTACTTTCTGTGTCATTTGTGAACATAACATTTGAATAAAAATCTATAATCTAAGGAAGCACTGCCTTTGTTTGTATGTTCATTTTCAAAATGTAATTCATGTGGTACTGCTTAATATACTGTTCTAGGAATTCATTAAGTGGGAGGAGGAAGAGTCTGGTGATCAGTCTTAAAATGAACTGACCTTCCAAAATTTAGCTTTTCAAGCCCATAATTTTCCTCTAGGCCCTCACCTGGTCCTCCTACTCCCTATATTGCCTTTCTTTGTGAGATCATAGAAGGCTGGTCTCATCCCACACACATCACATACACCTCTACTTCAATATAAAGCAATCCGATATAATACAAATTTGGATATAACGCGATAAAGCAGCGCTCCGGGGGGTGGGGCTGCGCACTCTGGCGGATCAAAGCAAGTTCTATATTATGCGGATTCACCTATAACGCGGTAAGATTTTTTGGTTCCCGAGGACAGCGTTATAGCGAGGTAGCGGTGTATATGCAGACTTTAACATGCATTTATACAGAGAAGACACAGCACTGGGCAAGGACTGCAAATCCTTGCAAAGAATCTTCCCAGCTATTGTAACCCTAGACTCTCCCAGCAGACTGATGCTGGGGTTAGGGAGTTCCCAGTTATTCCATTCCTGGCCTCTCTCAGCAGAAAGTGATGTGGAGAAAAGAGCAGGAAGCTCAGAGCAACTCTATTTCCAGCTGTTGCAGCTACAGGTGCTATAGGGCCCAGTGTTTTGAAGTGGATTTGCCAAGGAAGCTATGGCTGAAAAACAAACTACAAGATCCAAGTGAAACTTTTCCCTTCTCTATATGTCTGTGTGTGCCTCTCCTCATCTCTTCAATCCCCACAATGTCTATCTCTATCACGCACACAAACACACACGCAATGAAACCTCCCTAGAGGTTTTGGGGAGTTTCTCCCATCCCTTACTGGAGATCATCAAAGCTCCACACTCTCTTTAGTGCAGTTGACCAGTTCCGACTATGTGTCTGAGATGCCTCATAAGGTGTCCCTATATTGAAGTCTGAGATATATTTCATTTCACCTCCCTTACATCCCAGGTAATACACTGAGCAGAAAGGAGGAAGTGCCCTTTGAGCTCTGAAGTTTCAGTGACCAGCAATAGGAACTGAAAGAACAAAATTTAATAAACAGTCCAAGAGGCTGGAGAGATAGCCAAAAGAACTCAGGGCTTCTGACTCAGAGAGAGAGAGAGAGAGAGAGAGATTATTCATGTGTTACTGGGTGAGTGTGCTTCTGTGCATGTGTGTGTCTATATACAATGGTGTTTACAGTTACATGTGTGTTTGTGTTTGCTGCATAGGGTTAAAGCAGTGAGTGTGTTTCTGGTTGTATAGGTGCATGCACCTCTCCATGTGCTTGTGTATGAAATATAAATATGCCTACTGTGACCGGTTAGACCTCCCTCAAGTGCAGCTTTCCTCTGGAAATTACAACCAAAATAATATTGTCTTGTGCTGTAGAGAAATCTCTACAATGTAAACTCATAAATTCATCCCCGCCCTCAGTGTGGAGGAAGAAATGCTCAACTTCTTGCCCCCCCCTTGCCCAGTTAGAAATTGCACAACCTGGGTTTAATAATAAACAAAAACAAGTTTATTAACTATAAAAGGAAGATTTTAAGTGATTATAAGGGATAGCAAACAGAACAAAGCAGATTACCAAGCAAATAAAACAAAACACGCATACTAAGCTTAAGATCTTAAAAAGACTGGTTTCAAGAAGTAATTTCTCACCCTAAATGTTGTTTTAGTAAAGTTGCAGAGTTTCTGTAGCTTAGAGTTCCAGTTATTTCTTTTTACAGATTAGACTCGTGTCTCAGTCTGGACTCAGCCCTCGCCTTTTCCACTGTTCTGTTCCTTTGTCTCTTCAGGTACTTTCAGCAGCCTTTCTTCTTGGGCAGGAAGGCAATGGAGAAGAGTCCTGTTTGCCTTAATCCCCAGCCTTAAATAAGATTTATATAAGGCGGGAATCTTTTGTTTCCCAGTCTTGACCTCCCCCTCCTTTTAGTGGAAAATTACTAGAAGTCCAAGATGGGGTTTAGTACCAGGTGACAGGACCACCTGACCTAGTAGTGTCCCAGCTATGCCCCAGGACACCTCTCAGGAAGGAGTATCTTCAAAGTCTTACTGTTTCTTCCTAATGGCCCATCAAGGCTGATGGCCTGTCGTCTGGTGGGTGTCTACCAACTACACACACAGTTGGAATTGTTAGATAGTCAATATTCCTAACTTTAGATACAGAAATGATACATGTGTAACGCCGACAAACCCCGGTCATCGTGGGCAGGATTGAACATGGGGACTCTGGAGCTTAAAGCATGAGCCTCTACTGCCTGAGCTAAAAGCCAACTGGCCGGTAGCTAACGCTGTGGAGCAGACTCATTTAACTCCCGCTCTAAGTGGTCTCAGTGCCATTAGATGGGACAGAACACCACACCCAGGAGCTGTGTGGGTTACACATGCATACAATTGGATAATCACATTCAGTAAATTATAACCTTTCCGACGATACCTTGTAAGACCCATCTTGCATAAAATATATCTCAGTTATGCCATATCTATATCATAAGCATATTTCCATAAAGAATATGGGGTGTAACATCACACACAGTATGTACACATATGGTTGGGTGGGTTGGTAGTTGTATGTGTGTATGTTTGCAAATGCACTGGACATCATTACTCTCATGCTTCTCTCGCTTCCACCAATGTAAATCAGGAATAACTCCACTGCAGTCCATAGATATACACTGGTGTAAAACAGGGATAAGTAAAAGGAAAATATGGGTGGGGGATGCAGGTGGGAAACACTCCCTGAGGAGCTAACTAAGCCTTTTTTTGTGATTACGTGGAAAAGTATTTGCAGTGGTTTTTACTGACGAAGTTTCTAGTGTGAAATTTATCAGTGAATATGAATTAATATTCAGAGGGCACTGTGAACAGGTCCGGGGTGCACCACCTAGTGGTGGCGGTCTCTGGTGGTCACTCCACCTAGAGGTCATAATGGGAGAGGTAGGGGATCCCAAGCCCTCCCACCTCTACCAGGTTGTGACCCAGGGCCCTGTAAGGCATAGGCTCTGACTCCCTGGGTGCTCTGGAGCACCCTCGGAAAAAAATTAGTGGGTGCTGAGCACCCACCGGCAGCTCCCCGTGGCCCCGCCCCATCACCTGCTCCAACTCACCTCTGCCTCCATCTCCTCCGCGAGTGTGCCACTGCATCCTGCTTCTCCTCCCTCCCAGCCCTTGCCATGACACAGCTTATTCGCGGGGCAGGGAGGGAAGGGGGAGAAGGGAGAATGTCGCACGCTGGGGGAAGAGGCGGGGCCAGGGCGGGGATTTGGAGAAGGGGTCCAATAGGGGCAGGGAGGGGGCAGAGTTAGGGCAGGACTTTGGGGATAGTGTTGGAATGGGGGCGGGGCTAGGGGCAGGGATGGGGTGCAGTCAGGGTGGGGCCAGGGGCAGGAAGGCACGGGCACCCACCGGTGCAGGAGAAAATTGGCGCCGCTGCTGTGAGGTCTGTCCAATGTCTTTCATTCTGGAGTGCCCCGGGTCAGCCTCCCTGGGTCACTTCCTACCTCCCTCTTTCCTAAACTAGGCTTCAGCTTATCTCAGTAAGCACTACCCAATAGGTTCCCTACCCATCTCCAGTCCAGTCTGGATCTGGCTGCACCCTGCTCCAGAGCTCCCAGAGTGGGTCCTTCTCCCTGCCTTGTCCTCCCACAACTGAACTGGCTGGCTCCCTTTTTAACCCAGCCTCCAAGCAAAGCATTCTGGGCACAGACATGGGGGTGGGACCTCCTCAGCCCAGAGCTGCTCTTTGACCCTTTGCTGTCCAGTGAGGGTTTTATACACCCCGTCACAAGTGCCTAAGGCTGAGAATTTCCAAACTGTTTCATATTTAATTATAATACCATTTTATAACTATTTCTGTAAGAGGGGAATAACTCGTTATTTATTAAATAGTAATAAAATCTTAATTTCTTTCTGGTCATACCCACCGGAGCAAAGATAAGTGTAGCGAGGTAACCTGTCAAATGTAAAAATAACATACATAGATTCATTTCCAACTCATTGTAGCTATGCTAAAACACACACTATTGACATAAACAGGCCTTAAATTGGATATTCTTCAAGTAACAGAATCATATGATCAGTGCATGTATTGTTCACTGTAACAAATGTCACTGTGGCTTGGCTGGGGTAAAACCCCTGGAATGCCCTGCCAAAATGCTGGCCAAGCCCTGCTTTCTGGTAGGGAAGCCAGGTGCATGGGCCCGGGCAGCCAGCAGAGAGCCCAGCTGCAGGCCCTAACGAGGGCCAGCCCACAGCAATGACTTGAGGTAAGTAGCCACAGCTGGACTGAGGACAGGCGGGGTTATAAAAGCCCTGAGGAAAGCTCAGGCAGGAGGCTAGCCTGGGAAGGGATAGTAGGTGTATATCTTTGTCTCCTCACCAAAGGCAAGGAGCCTCACGGGCCAGGAGACCCTGGGAAGGGTCTGACTGGGGATGGCTGTTGGGGGAATAAGGGGGACTACACAATTGGATTGTAAATAAAGACACAAGGGTGAAGCACCAAGAAGGCGTGGGGACTCTTTATTGAACCAGCCAACACAGGGCACAGGCTCGAGAGGGTGGAGACCTGTGCGGACCCTGTGACAGTCACTGTAGCAAAGTTATGTTTCATGGATATTGTAGCTACAGTGTAATTAGTACAGAGGATGTGAGGGCAGGTGTATCTATACAAAAACATAGCTCCGTTGTAGCTATCGCGATCCTAGGAAGATCAATTTAATAAAGCTCCATCGAGGGAGGAGCAGAGAAGTTGGTCCTTACTTGGACAGTGCTGTACTGAGCTATCCAGCGCATGTATTTTATATCTAGCTCCCATGGAGGGAGGCTCACTAGAAATACAGACATGGCTAAACAGGCCAACTTTTTCAAAATTGAGTAACACTGACTTCGGGGGGAGCTGCAGTAGCTCAGCACCTCTGAAAATCAGGCCATCTAGTGAAGTG